TAAAACAATTTACTGACATCACAAGGACATTCTCACAATAAAACAAACAATTATGTACTAAATAATCCAAATGATTTCTCTTGATATTTGATGCCATTCATACAAAATCAGCAATTAACTTCACAGTTTCAAACCTCATAAAGCTCTACGGGCCATTTCAAACAAAAGTCAGGGAAAGAAATGCATGTCTGTCATTCAAGTTTTATGATTTGCAAGAATGAGGTTTATGAATTGACACACAGCAAAAATGAAAAAAAAAAGAAAACTGAAGAAGATACTTAAAACAAAGACCTCAATACGTCTTTGGTGGGGATGTACTGTCCTGGACTCTGCGTGTTCGTCAAAGGGCTAGTCAACCAGCGGAAGAGCATTTATAAACTGTTAAGCAGTACAGTCAATGAAGCCCATCCCTAATGTGTATCATATCTATATTGTTGTTAGTTTGCTGCCGGCCCCTCTCTCACTCAGTCACACATGGCAACAAATTAAGTGTATTAGCCAACTTAAGCACAGGAATGACTGTCTCCTCAGCTGAGGAGATATTGGATGCAGCTGATGTCTTATTTCAAACATCAAAAGGTGGAATAATTACCCCATTTCCACAATGCGGCATGGAACCTGGTTAGTAAGCCATTTCAAACTAAAAAGAAAAACTTCCTCTTAGTTAAAAGCACCTGAATGCCAGTGGCTGTCACGTCGAACTTGGTCAGTGATAAGTTTTCAAAGAAGTGAATTTCCGACATTTGCAAAGCGCTTTGGGTACCGTTTAGTGTAGATCAGGGATGGGCAACCAGCTAGAACTGGATAGATGGATATACAGATACATGCAACAAGGCTATACCAAACTGAAAAATGATGATTATATTTAATTTTTAGATTTTACATTCAGAGAAAATGTATTCTTTATAATGTGGACAGTTTTTTTTTCTTCTTGATTTGGCGAAGCTTGTTCTCCTGCTTCCTCCACTTGCAAACCATGGATTTGTTTTTGTTGAATTCTCTCGAGGCTGCTTGATTGTTATGTTCCTCCGCGTATCTGTGCTTCGTAGGCATGTCTCTTCATAGGTGGCTTTTTCCGGAGTCCAAAGCCCTATGCACATACCGAGATCATATCCACCTACTGGTGGCCGTGCCTTTAGCGTCCTCTTTCACGCTCACCCTTGCCCTTTAACGTCCGCATGCCGTCCTCAGTTACGTCCGCCTTTCCTCTATATAAACAGCATAACTGCATCACATCAGATAGTCAAGCGGAGCGCTCATCGAAGTCACAGCAACATTCACAGATTTTGGAACTCGGTGCACAGATCCGGCGCTCTGCTTTATAAGGTGCCCGGTCCATTTTGAAAAAAAAAATCCAAATTATAAGTGCACCCTTTAGTCGTGAAAATACGGTATAAAAGACTCAGGCTTGTGTTGGCTCATTGTGTTGCAATCCTTGTATCATTATTTTTACAGACATTTTACAGGGAAGAGAAACCATCCACATTTATATTTTGAACAGCTTCTTTATCTCAATAATTGAGATAGGCCTTCTGAAATCACCAGGTATAAATAAAACGGAATCCCCAAGTCATGGAAATGTATTGTAGTGCATAAATCTCATTCCTCTCAGCTAATGCTCATGCTGAGATCTGCGCTATAGACAAGAGTTCCCAGCACTGTACATAATAAAGCGGCTCTTAACAAGGCTGTCTAAGACAGACTCATCCTTTATATACCTCCTTATCCCATTAATTCCCTCGGTGGCAGTGAAGGAAAATGTTATAAACTCCAAGCAAATGCTCCAATTGCATTTCTCAAGTGATAAATATTTCAGCGGCGCTGAGAACATATTTAAGCCGCATTCAAGGTTTCCCCCACTTGCGTGATTATGATCCTGCTCGTGCCTTTTAGAGATAATCAATGACTCATGTTATCCCTTTCGCTACAGCCCTCCATTTGGTCTTGAATGGTGCAAAAATGAAGTGCGAGCACGTGTGTGCATGTGCGCACCGTGGGTACCATTAATCTACATGTTTGAGAAATATATATACGGTATATACCAATTGTTAGACAGACACGAAGAGATATTCCATCACCAATGTAATTGGCTTTTCGCAAGCATGGCAATTGTAATACCCCCACTAAAATGTATTCTAACTGCTTCGTTGATTGTGAAATAGCGTCATCTTTCTTCGGAAAAGGCACCGCGTGTTGTTTATTGCGAGAATCCTCTCTAAACACAATCATTTAGAAGATTCATTTATTTCTCTTATTCTCTATTCCTTTAGGAGATTTTTGAATTAATTATCGTCTTTATTTAACATTGCGCTACCAACCACATTGCAGCTGAACCTCACAGAGTGATGTATGAACAGAATGCCAAGTTGGACTTTTATTAATGTCCAACCATCCATCCATTTTCTACCACTTATCCGGGTCGCAGAAGCAACGGCTTTAGCAAGGAAGCCCATACTTCCCTCTCCCCAGCTACTTCACTTCCAGCTCTTCCAGGGGGATCCTGAGGCGTTCTCAGGTCAGCTGGGAGACGTAGTCTCTCCAGTGTGTCCTGGGTCGTCCACGGGGCCTCCTGCCAGTGGGACATGCCCAGAAAACCTCACCAGGGAGGCATCCAGCCGGCATCCTAATCAGACACACAAGCTACCTCGTCTGGCTCCTCTCGACGAGGAGAAGAAGCGCCTCGACTCTGAACCCCTCCCGGATGACCGAGCTACTCACCTTATATCTCAGGGAGAGGCCGGACACCCTGCGGAGGAAACTCATTTCGGCCGCTTGTATCCGGGATCTTGTTCTTTCGGTCACGACCCATAGCTCGTGACGATAGGTGAGGGTTGGAACGTAGATCGACCGGTAAATTGAGAGCTTCGCCTTTTGGCTCCGCTTCTTCTTCACTACAACAGACCAATACAAAGCCCGCGTCACAGCAGACGCTGCACCGATCCATCTTTGATGGTAAAAAAATGTACGAACATGATGCCCAGTTTGCGGCAATGTCTTTGAATATTCAAAAGGAACTATGTCAGTTGTCTTTTTCGCAACTATTAAGCAGAGTGAGATTGCATTCTTTTGTGTCATAGAGGAGTTACTTCCAATCCTAAATGACTTTTTATCACAAATCATCATCATCAATGGCAAGAAGTAGCAGGATTGATATACAGTGTGTGTTCACAATACCAGTTAAAATATGAATGTATATATGCACATTATATTTGACCAATAAATTCTCTTTGTCTTACCACGATTGATTATCTTTTAATCACTCCAGTCTCCCTTGACTGAATTTACACCACGCCAGTCTCTATGGTACACCTCCCTTCTGCCTTCCTTTCTCTGCCTACTACTGTAAATGTGCATTAGCTCTTTTCCCAAATTATCTGCAGCCATCTAGTGTCTGCTTTGCGCTCTAGAATTTATTCTACCGCCCTGTCAGCTTTGCAGATACAGTAGCACCGTGTTCAATTACAACATAAAGCTCAGTTAATACTTAAAAGGCAAAAAACAAAAGGGTTGTCTGTGGCCTCACCAAAATAAACAATTCTCTAGCAGTTTGGACGATGTCACATCACACCTGACAACAAAGGGTTTGCCTGTGCACTGCTTGGGAAAGCTTGGAAGTGACGAGAGAGACACCAGGAAAGTCAGTCACACAACTCTGACAGTATGTTACGACTACAAACACACTTTTGCTCTCTCTCTAACTGAGACAGACAGTTAAGCAATAACTGTGAACACCTGGGCTACCTCCAGGCGCTACACCCTGGCCCCTGGGGCTCTTCACCTGAAACTGGGGCGGGGGGCGGTGGAGGGGGCTGCGTTGCTTCCCTTGCTGCTTGAGAACTGCCTGAAGCAGGCTAATAATCACACAGGTGCCCACAAGGGACATACGAGCTGAAATTCCGCCTTTACATTAATCATCAGTTCAGGGTTACAGTCAAGTGAGAAAATAGATACATATCAAACACCACACAAACTTGAGTTATTATTATTACTTTCATTTTATTTTACTTTTTAACAAAGTTAACTTTTTCAAAGTCTAAATATGTCACCAGTTAAAATTTTGAGTCAGGCATGTGGAAGCTTCGAATCTATCCATCCGATGCTGCCACTGAACTAAACTATTTCCATACATCAAGTTCCTAACTCACATATGCACTTGCCAACAATTAGGATCCAAAAGACTGATGAGTCCAGGAGGACGAGTAATATGCATACACGTGTTTCGTTTCAAAGTGCAGGATAGACATTTGCAACGATATCAACTCTGGTTGAACAAAAAATAACCAACTTGCAATAACTGCCAATATATCTAGCTATTGTATTTTGACACCTGGGATAGATAAATCTGAATGAACCTCCAGCCATGACTCATGGACACAAACAACCCCTTTACACCAACGTGTCTGCCTCTATTGACACAAGCAATTTGGGGCCAAATGAAAAACTAATTAAATCAAAACATGTGCTATGCGGAATGTTGTATGCGTGTCGACTGTACACACATTGGCGTGTTTAACATTTGCAACCTAATTCTGTTATGTTTCAATTACCAGATGCACCTTTAGAGTCCACAGCAAGGTTAGGCAAACATATCCAAGTCTAAGCTCTGGCTCGAGGTGCACACATCTTTATTCCAAATGCTCCTATCTGCCTATTTAATTAAATTCAAGATCAGGCTTACGGTAAATAGCGTGAAAGTCAGGTTCATGGGGAGCTGGTGTAATTTGTGTTGTGGTCCTGAACCTTAAGGTCATCCATAAGTCATTATCACTAAAAGTCAACTTCATTACAGTTTAACAGCTACACATCACTTTCCTTATTATCAAAGGTGTAAATGTCAACTTTCCTCAAATTCCTCCCCACATAACCGTACGATGAACTAATTAGTCTGGAGCTACTCCTTTAGCCTTCAGTCAGCCAGATCCAAAGTACAGTAATTTAATTCATCAATACACATTTTAATAAGCATGTAAAGGTTCCGAACAAACTTATTTCAGGTAGGT